CTAAACCCATCAGGAGAATAGAAATAATAAAGATCAGAGCAGAACTCAATGAAATAGAAACCAAAAGAACAGAACAGATCAATGAAACTAGGAGCTGGTTCTTTGAAAGAATTAACAAGATTGATAAACCCCTGGTCAGACTTATCAAAAAGAAAAGAGAAAGGACCCAAAACAACAAAATCATGAATGAAAGAGGAGAGATCACAACCAACACCAAAGTAATACAAACAATTATAAGAACATATTATGAGCAACTCTATGCCAGCAAATTAGATAATCTGGAAGAAATGGATGCATTCCTAGAGATGTATCAACTACCAAAACTGAACCAGGAAGAAATAGAAAACCTGACCAGACCTATAACCACTAAGGAAACTGAAGCAGTCATCAAAAATCTCCCAACAAACAAAAGCCCAAGGCCAGATGGCTACGAGGGGAATTCTACCAAACATTTCAAGAAGAATTAATACCTATTCTTCTGAAACTGTTCCAAAAAATAGAAATGGAAGGAAAACTTCCAAACTCGTTTTATGAGCCCACCATTACCTTGATCCCCAACCAGACAAAGACCCCATCAAAAAGGAGAATTACAGACCAATATCCTTGATGAACATGGATGCAAAAATTCTCACCAAAATACTAGCCAATAGGATCCAACAGTACACTAAAAGGATTATTCACCACGACCAAGCGGGATTTATCCCTGTGCTGCAAGTTTGGTTTGACATCTGCAAATCAATCAATATGATACAATACATTAATAAAAGAAAGAACAAGAACCATATGATCCTCTCAATAGATGCAGAGAAAACATTTGACAAAGTACAGCATCCTTTAAACTCTTCAGAGTATAGGGATAGAGGGTACATACCTCAATATCATAAAAGCCATCTATGAAAAACCCACAGTGAATATCAATCTCAATGGGGAAAAACTGAGAGCTTTCCCCCTAAGGTCAGGAACGTGGCAGGGATGTCCACTATCACCACTGCTATTCAACATAGTATTAGAAGTCCTTGCCACAGCAATCAGACAACAAAAAGAAATCAAAGGCATCCGAATTGGCAAAGAAGAAGTCAAACTCTCACTCTTTGCAGATGATATGATACTTTATGTGGAAAACCCAAAAGACTCCACCCCAAAACTGCTAGAACTCATACAGGCATTCAGTAAAGTGGCAGGATATAAAATCAATGCACAGAAGTCAGTGGCATTCCTATACACCAACAACAAGACTGAAGAAAGAGAAATTAAGGAGTCCATCCCATTTACAATTGCACCCAAAACCATAAGATACCTAGGAATAAATCTAACCAAAGAGGCAAAGAATCTGTACTCCGAAAACTATAAAATATTCATGAAAGAAATTGACGAAGACGCAAAGAAATAGAAAAACGTTCCATGCTCATGGATTGGAAGAACAAATATTGTGAAGATGTCAGTGCTGCCTAGAGCAATCTACACATGTAATGCAATCCCTATCAAAATACCATCCACTTTTTTCAAAGAAATGGAGCAAATAATCCTAAAATTTGTATGGAACCAGAAAAGACCCCAAATAGCCAGAGGAATGTTGAAAAAGAAAAGCAAAGCTGGTGGCGTCACAATTCTGGACTTCAAGCTCTATTACAAAGCTGTCATCATCAAGACAGTATTGTACTGGCACAAAAACAGACATATAGATCAATGGAACAGAATAGAGAGCCCACAAATGGCCCCTCAATTCTATGGTCAACTAATCTTCAACAAAGCAGGAAAGAATGTCCAATGGAAAAAAGACAGTGTCTTCAACAAATGGGTGTTGGGAAAATTGGACAGCCACATGCAGAAGAATGAAACTGGACCATTTCCTTACACCACACACAAAAATAGACTCGAAATGGTTGAAAGATCTAAATGTGAGACAGGAGTCCATCAAAATCCTAAAGGAGAACATAGGCAGCAGCTTCTTTGACCTCAGCCGCAGCAACTTCTTCCTAGAAACCTTGCCAAAGGCAAGGGAAGCAAGGATAAAAATGAACTATTGGGACTTCATCAAGATAAAAAGCTCTTGCACAGCAAAGAAATAGTCAACAAAACCAACAGACAACCGACAGAATGGGAGAAGACATTTGTAAATGATATATCAGATAAAGGGCTAGTATCCAAAATCTATAAAGAACTTCTTAAACTCAACACCCAAAGAACAAATGATCCAATCAAGAAATGGGCAGAACACATGAACAGACTTTTTTCCAAAGAAGACATCCAAATGTTCAATAGACACATGAAAAAGTGCTCAACATCAGTCGGCATCAGGGAAATCCAAATCAAAACCTCAATGAGATACCACCTCACACCAGTCAGAATGGCTAAAATTGACAAGTCAGGAAATGACAGATGTTGGTGGGGATGTGGAGAAAGGGGAACCCTCCTACACTGTTGGTGGGAATGCAAGCTGGTGCGACCACTCCGGAAAACAGTATGGAGGATCCTCAAAAAGTTGAAAATAGAGCTACCGTACGATCCAGCAATTGCACTACTGGGTATTTACCCCAAGATACAAATGTAGGGATCCAAAGGGGTACGTGCACCCCGATGTTTATAGCAGCAATGTCCATAATAGCCAACCTATGGAAAGAGCCTAGATGTCCATCAACAGATGAATGGATAAAGAAGAAGTGGTATATATATACAATGGAATATTATGCAGCCATCAAAAGGAATGAGATCTTGCCATTTGCAATGACGTGGATGGAACTGGAGGGTGTTATCCTGAGAAATAAGTCAATCAGAGAAAGACACGTATCATATGACCTCACAGATATGAGGAATTCTTAATCTCAGGAAACAAACTGAGGGTTGCTGGAGTGGTGGGGGAGGAGGGATGGGGTGGCTGGGTGATAGACATTGGGAAGGGTATGTGCTATGGTGAGCACTGTGAATTGTGTAAGACTGTTGAATCACAGACCTGTACCTCTGAAACAAATAATACATAATATGTTAAAAAAAAAAAAAAAGAAGAAGAAGAAGAAGAAGATAGCAGGAAGGGAAGAATGAAGGGGGGGGATCAGAGGGGGAGATGAACCATGAGAGACTACAGACTCTGAGAAACAAACTGAGGGTTCTAGAGGGGAGGGGAGTGGGGGAATGGGTTAACCTGGTGATGGGTATTAAAGAGGGCACGTACTGCATAGGGCCCTGGGTGTTATACTCAAACAATGAATCATGGAATACTACATCAAAAACTAATGATGTAATGTATGGTGATTAACATAACATAAAAAAAAAAAAAGGAGCACCAAGGGGTAAAAAGAGTTAGCACTCTTACTGAACCGAGTTACTCAGGACACAAATCTTAGGATTTCTTTTCTGAAACCAAAGGTGCCAAAAAGAACAAAATTCCAAACTATAAATTAATCCAAAATTTGATCTTTAAAGAAAAGAGAAAATCTTGATGGAAGTCCACATTCCACATTAGTCCACAGTTGCTAACTTTGAGCCCTTAGAATAACCAGGTACTAAAATCCTAAGAATACCAAACCATAATAAGATACAACAAGCCTGATTTTTTGGACTCTAACTTTGGCATCTATTTTAACGAAGCAAGATTAATTCATGACCTAGGAGCTCTGTGAGCTTATGTTTATTTATAATAGTCAATACTCCCATAAGCACAAAATGTTGCAAATGGAATGTTGCATTTTGATAATGCCCATTTCTTCATTAAGATTTCATCATCCACCTACATTAGAAAGCCTCTCCCCACACTTTGTTGCTTCTGCTTTCACCTTGTTTATTCCTGCCTTATTTGCTTAATCTTGAGATCCTGGCTACCAGGCACTCTCAAATTTGAAACAAGTAAAGTTTGTGCATTAGTGTGTCCTGGGCATGCATGATTTATGAATGGCAGGTTTCTTGGCACAATTTAATGGTATGAGAGAGACTTCGTTTTAAACATTAAAGGGAAAGTCAAGAAGTGGCAACAATAGGTGGGATATTAGAACATACGGTTTGTAAAATGTTTGGGTCAAGAGTTAACCAGTTTTTACGTGGTTTATTTCTTAATCTTTGGTCTGATGCTCTGACCGTAAGGAGCTCTGACATCTGACCAACTACAGAAAGTACTTTAAATTGTTACTCTGATAACTTACCCCATCAAACTCTCACTCTGCAAAAAAAAAAAAAAAAAAAAAAATTTTTCTTTCTAATTGCTAACATTCATATCAATGGGGAAAACAAACACCTTTGAGCAGCCCAAAACAAATTTGTTTTCTCTTTGTTAGGCATCCTAATCGTATCATATTCAGGCCATTTTTCACCATAAAATTCTTCCTTTAACAGAGTCTTTTGTGAATCAGTCTATCAATCAGTGTTAGCAAATCTTTCCCAGAAAAGTGAAAATCTTTGTAGAACCAGAAGAACTACCCTTCCAGAGTTAAATGAATCCAGCTCTTGTTAAATGCCCATGTAATATAAAGGCTCAATCTACAAGTCTGTTTTTCTCATTATGAAGTATGATCCCAAATAATATACTTTCTGTTTAATAATTATAACTAAAAATACTTAGCAAGAAAACAATAATTAAATTAAGACTTCCAAAGTCTACCTTGTACTGGAGATGTTCCAACCACTTGCCACACAAACAAATCATGTATAACCTTTCTTTGCAGATGGCTACACTGAAGAAGTCATGAGATCATAACCCAGGTCCTCAAATAACAACACAATAATTTTACATCTAAGTTTTCGATGTGTTGCACAATGAGTGCTCACGGGTGCCTCTAGAAGACCTGAAAGGTTGCAAATCAATGCGAGGACACAAGGACTGATAAAGCCCATGGCTTGAGCAAGGTTGGGATTCACACACAGCGTGGAACCTGGCTTCCTACGCAAGCCTTCTATCTCCCTTGCTAGCGGGAGCAGCTCTGAACCACATTCACCATCGGGGGCATGGGAGCAATGCAGAGAACACCGGCCACGGATAGAGCCCTATATGGCACACAGAAACAATGGGTTACCTTGTAGATTTTGCAATGGCAGAGTCATAATGCCTCCGGCTGCAGCAGCTGCTACCAGCCCTTGGATGTTGGTGAGATTCGCGGTAGGCAGAGTGAGGACCAGTCCTTGTTGTCCTCCTAGCTGTCCGGCCATGTTGAAGGGGATGAGGATGGGCTGGTTGAGGGCCGGCGTGCCTCCCGGCATGACGCCAGCGACAGCCGAGGCTAACTGTTGTGCTGTCAGAAGAGGCTGCAAGGAAACAGATAATCCTAGCTCACTTTCCAGTGGAACCAAGACATGGCCTTTCAGAGCATTTTCTTCTAGCGGTCTAGTTCTTCTAGCAGGGTCAGAAATTTCCTGAACAGGGCGCCTGGGTGGCTCAGTTGGTTAAGCGACTGCCTTCGGCTCAGGTCATGATCCTGGAGTCCCGGGATCGAGTCCCGCATCGGGCTCCCTGCTCGGCGGGGAGTCTGCTTCTCCCTCTGACCCTCCTCCCTCTCATGTACTCTCTTTCATTCTCAGTCTCTCAAATAAATAAATAAAATCTTTATAAAAAAATAATAAATAAATAAAGTTTCATTGGGCGCCTGGGTGGCTCAGTTGGTTAAGCGACTGCCTTCGGCTCAGGTCATGATCCTGGAGTCCCGGGATCGAGTCCCGCATCGGGCTCCCTGCTCGGCGGGGAGTCTGCTTCTCCCTCTGACCCTCTTCCCTCTCATGCTCTCCGTCTCTCATTCTCTCTCTCTCAAATAAATAAAATCTTAAAAAAAAAAAAAAAGTTTGTTTTAAAAAAAAAAAAAAAAAGAAATTTCCTGAACAAGGAGCAAACACACATGCTCTGTTCCAGAATGAACCAGTAGGGGAAAAAAATTGAAATCACATTTCATTTATTTCTTTGGAAAATTTCATTGGGTTTGGATTTCTTTTGAGGAACTCAAATACCTTTAAAAGTAATACCTTACACTCACATATTATTCTTCCAATGAATTTCCATTTGATCTTAACCTTACATATTTGAAATTCTTTGCTAATTTGTTCTCTGTTGTTCCAGAAAGAACTCATTGGCATCAGAGGTGTTTTTTTGTTGTTGTTTTTGGGGTTTTTTGTTTTGTTTTGTTTTGGCTCAAAAGTAGCAATAAAATACTATTTTTATTTATTAGCAGCAAAAATAATGTAAAAGAGTTACAGCACGCTGGTAGGTCTTTAGTGACACCATTATGTGGATTTAGGACATATGCACAATCATAAGCCTTTTGGAAAGCAATTTGGAAATCTATATCAAGAGCTGCAGAAATACTCAACCCCTTTTAACTCAGAATATACTCCTGGGATAGAGCCTGAAGATACCATTCAAAAAGACAAAAGATAAATGCATGAAAACATGCATTACATTTAAAAATATATAAATGTTGAATAATATTTTGTTATAGTACTAAACTCAACAAGGTATTACACAGTCTTTAAAGTGGATCATTATGGCGCCTCTTTCAGAAAAATAGAAAATGTTTATCATACGAGAATCCCTAAAATAAACTGGATAATCATTAAGCAATGACAATGAAATCATTAAAATTGTAAAATTGTGTGTGTACATTAAGAGTTCTGAAAAAAGTATAGGAAAACAAAGACATTTGAGGTGGGTAAGTTGGCCAATCTTTTAAAGATGTCTTTTGCTATTACTCTAACATTCTTTGCTCAGTTCATACAAGATTAGAAACAAGGGTTTGTGTCCACTGTTTATCCATTAGCCATTGTTTGATGTGGACAGGCAGCCTCATCGGTGTGCGCTTTGGGCAGTAGGCGGATTTGAGCCCAGATGTGAGCTCTTCACCAGGATGACTTAGGAAGGATTCCTGCGCTGGCCAGGCCCCGTGACCAGAAGGGTCATGGGTCTTACAGACCTCGATGCAATGCCTTCATTGCACCCGTTTGGGAACCGTGTGACACATAATGCCATGTCCATTTTTCTTCTTCATGGAGGGGTTTCAACTTTTTTGTTTTTGATGCAGCATGATTCTATAAAACAAAAGGTAAGCAAATAGAGGCAGAGTGCAAAACCCAGTAAATTATAGGCAGGCACCATTCTAATATTGCCATGGGCATATGAATGCAATTGTCCTACCAACGAGATACAGAAGGATTAGTAAGTTGCCCAAAGCCCCATATCTGGTGGGCATGGGCGGATCATGTCAAGGCAGGCTGCTCCAGAGCCCATGGCTCACCCCTTTCTGGCCATGCCCTCTCATGCACGAACTGATTCAGAGAAGTGGGGCTGCTGTATTTGCAGAATGAGGGGAGGAGGGCTGACCCCGCTCTCTGGCCGCTGCCTACAGCCTCCCATCACAGCTCCTGCTGGGGAGGCCTTGCAGAAGCCCTGGGACAACAGATGCAGCCTGGTTCTAGACTACTCCAGATTCCATGGGCTTCACTCCTAATTTGTTTGTTAGAGTCTACTAAATTCACATGAAGTAACTGCCTCTCTTTAAAAAAAAAAATAAGAAAGCCACTGTAAAGCACAAAACAAACATATTTTTTAAGAGCAAGTACAAAATGATAAACTGGTCCTCAGATCACTGATGTTATATCACTGCCCACAGTAATATCATGATAAGGGGGAAGCAAATGGCTGGTTCTCAGACTACGCAGGTCAGAGATTTGGGGGGTTTGGCATGTAGTATTTTTTTTATGGCATGTAGTATTTTTTTTAATTGAATTCTTGGGGTTGAAGCAGGGCATGCATTCTCCAGCTTGTCAAGGTGCCCACCACGTCTCACTGTCTGGGTCTGTCCCGCACTGACTTGACCCAGAGGCATGAGTTTGTCACTCCTGGTATGTTCACACACACACACACATGCACGCACGCACATGCATGCACTCAAGCGCACGCGTGCACACACACACACACACACAATGTCACCAGCATGAAAGTTTTAGAAAAGGCATAGCTGGGAGATTCCGGCTTCTGAGATTCCCAGTAGAACCCTCTCTGGGCTTCCATAAATGAGCAGACACCTCCCCAGGCTTTCTGTCCTTGAGCACCAAGGACCTGAGACCACAGGGAGACTTGGTGGCTGCTGGAACAAAAGTGAGGACCAACCCAAGCCCTACACTTGGGTTTCCAAGTCTTGAATTGGTGCGCCCTCAAAGTGCTGAAAGTGATTAATTTGCAGGAACAATGACCGCAAAGGGGAGAGACGGTCTCCCATAGTCACCTCTTCTCCCAGAAAAGCAGGTGAACTCCGAAAGCGTCCCACTAAATGCCAGAGCTAAAACAACCGCAGCCAAGAGCCCAGCTCTTATAATTGTGTTCTACACCTCCGTATAACCACACCAGGCTGCAAAAAACAAATATTGGACTTTAAAAAATAATGAATGTATTTCTTTATTAATGCAAGAGCTGTATGTGATGTACAGTATTGTCAAACCCAATAAGCTGAACTTGCATTAAAATTGCATTAACTTTTTTATATTAAATCACATCCTGTATTTCAAAAATGGCTACAGTAAGGTTGAAATAACTTAATTTTCTTCACACTCCAGTCATTAAAGTTTTACTTTCTAGAAAACTGCATGGTAGCCAACGGCACAATGGTAAGTGGGTTTTAAGAAGGGAAAAAAAAAGTTTCCTAATGATTAAAACCAACATTGCCTTTAAAAAGAGAGGAGTTCTGCAAACACTTTCTTTTTCCTTGATGGCATTTAATAAATAATACAGTCATGCAGTTTCCCACACAAAAATTTATCACCGTGTTTGCTCTGTTGGAGTTGATTGGATTTAACTCATTACTATTTATTCGGTTATTTATATGGTTAAACCATCCTAAATGCAGCCTAATGGAAAAGCAGTTGAGAGATACTGACCTGCGGCCCAACCGGGAAAGGGGAGTGGGTCTGACTGGCCTGGTGTTGGTCAGGAGTGCCTGGGTCTGACAGAGCCGGGTTTCCTCTGGCCCCTGGAATTCAAAAGAGAAGTGCTCCCTTTAATAGAAGATCCAGCCTGGGAACTGCCCATGACCCCATTTTCCTGTGATGTCACATAACATTAAGGTACAGATGACATGCCAGAGTGGTTTATCAATAGCTGCAGTGCTCAAATCACTTGTCAACTGCATAAATTATGCTAACAGATATTCAGGATGGCCAGTCATTCCGGGAGGGAGAAGGCTGTGACGGGGGAAAGTGACACCATCATCAGTCGCGCTAATAGGCTTGCATGATCCATCAGTTTGCACGGCGTATGCCAATGTGTTGCGCGGGTGGGAAGCCGCATCCTTTATGCACAGGCGGGCAACAGCTAATCTAATTTCCCAAAGCCAGAGAACGCATGATCTCAGACATGACCAAGTACATCTATATTATCCCTTAATATGGTTGTAGACCCTTAAGCCTTTTCTCCATACCCACTGCAGACACCAACTCGTATGAATGTGTTTTCCTAGAGACAGCTTTTTTCAATGTCACCTTAGGGGATACCCTGGACAGCACAGGGATCTCCCGAAGCAAGTTTCCTGGGTGCTAACGGAAATGGTAGGAATAGCACACTAACTCCAGGGAGCCCCGCTGTGCTATGCAGGGGGAACGCAGCTTCCTTCCTGTGCCGGAATCCTGTTGGATGCCAAAGCACGAGAAATGAAATCCCACCAAAACAGCAAGTCTTTCACATCTTCTTAAAACAGTGTAGTTTCTCTGTGTGCGTTCGTGTGCTTTGTTTCAGGACAGACTGGAGCAGGTAGGATAGTGGCAGGAACCATAAACAGATGAATAGGCAAACAAAAAATAACTAAATAGACCCGGCTGCAATTTTTGAGGGGTTTGACTCAGTAGCTTTTGTTTTCTTGGTGGTTGAAATCCAATTCCAAGCCACCCTTAACGAGATCCTCTTTCCTGATGTTTGTCCTATGAATAGCAAGTGGGTGACAATTCAAACCCTGTTTACTGGCATGCCGTGGACGGCCAAGAAAAAAAGATATGATCCTGTCATGCTTATAAATTTTAAAGAAGGTATTATTGGCTCATTTAAAACAAATTCTTCTATATGTTCTCCAAAGGGACAGACTTATAAATAATGGAAATGTGGAAAAAAATATTTCAGCACATTAAGCTACAAATAAAATTGACTGCTACATATTATTCAATTGGCTTCTATCTCCACTGCGATGTGTCAATCATAACAGCATTTTATAATAAGATTAAGCAATAAATGTGCAAAGCCATTATGCAGAAATCTGGAAATCTTATTAATTTGTAATATTTTTTTGTGCAGAGAGTCAGGAATGGACATTGCTTGGGGAATACTTACAAGCATTCTATTGAAATTTCTAAATTGATTTGGAACAAACTAATAAAAACACAGACTTGCTGACATTTTATAAAGTGAATTCTGTCAAAATATGTTTGGCATTTTAATGCTTGCTGTCATTTAATAACAAGGGTAAGATGACCCATCATGAGATGCCAACAATTTCCTCATAATGTGCACGAGACCTGTCTTCTAAATTTTTTATATGTGATGTACTCATTATGCTTGAGTAGTAGGGCACTTTAAATGGTGCGCTTTGCTGGGTGAATGTCGTATTTTCTGCTCTTGTATAATCAAGTCCAATTTTGCCTTAAAATTCTCATTAGAGCTTTGTGCACTTTTATAGAGCAAATCCAGGTCCCCAAGGGATGCTTTTGGTCACTTAGATATATTCTGAAATAGCTAAAAACCCACTTTGGTTTAGTTTTTGTAGACAATTTAAAATTTGGGGTGGCTGCCCCATCCCCACTGGGCATGGATTTTGACACTGGACTGCAAAAAGTGAGTTTTACAGAGGGAAACCCCTTCTGCACCATTAAAACACATATATGTCTTAATTTCAAAACACTTCTATACTGTGCCAGGCCCTCCGGCCTCAAATTTTTTTCATGTGCACCAGGCCCACTTTTGGACCTTGTCCTTAAGGATATACCATTGTAAGGTTCAGGATCTGTATCAATGAGAAGTTGTTGGCTGCCCCTAACTTTACACAGATTACATTTGCTTACAATTTATTCTTTGTTGCCGGAGGCCCTCCCCACACAGGGCAGCTTGTCTTGAGGCTGGTGATTCTCAAAAACCATGTTCAGTGCAGTACGGGGCAAGTTCACACAATTTCATGTGTAAAATGAAGTCTTTCACAGGCTTTAGAGGAGATTATGTATGCTCTCCTGCCTGGATCAAAAAGTAATGTTTCTTCTTAATGCACATCTCCAATTCCCCCAAACACATGTATCATGCTTAACCTTGTAGGACCATATAATAATCTGTCTGGTCGGAAGGCAGCTCCCAAGTCAGGGGCCTTCTCAGAGCCAGAGAGGGGAAGCCAGTAGTCAGAATGAATAAATGACATTGGCTAAGGGTTGCTGAGAGATTCAAAGCAGCACGTAGCTGTGCGTTAGCAGACTCTGAGGTCACCTATTTCCACGACCACAGACGTGAAAACATGAACTTAAACAGGCTGGGCAGGTTCCTCCTGATCAGGATCCTAGGAAACACGTTACCTCTCTGAGATCAGGGATGTCCAGAGAGTTCTCTGTGGCCTGTTGTGAATGTAATAGGCTGCACTTTTCAGGCGCGCCTTTGAGCTTTCATAGAGCAGGACGGTCTCCGCTCTCCACACCCACGCCCCAATGCAAGCAGGGCATTTGCACCTATTGAAATCTTCATTCAATGAAAAGAGAGGTCTGGCTTTTAATCTGGGGGCAGTAGAATTCACAGAAGACAGGTATTGCCATCCACTTGACTCTTTACTCTTGTTTAGTATAAGCTTTGGAAATATCTTTAAATTATTAGCTTATTGGCAAATTCTACCTCGATTCCAATTTAGAGACAAAAGGCACTTTGGTGTCTGGGTGTTTAAAAGATTAAACTTTAAGCTCTGCTTGGGTCTCAGTTTATGCCACTTAACTAGGTATGTGAACTTGGACTTGTTTTCCAACTTCTTTATGCATCAGCTTCCTCCTCTAGAAGTCCAGGATGATAACAGTGCCTCCCTCATAGGGTTGCTGTTTGTAAGGATTAAATGAGCCCAGAGATTTGCAGATTTCATGGGACAGTACAGGTTTGTGCTAATTCTGTTGACTACTTTTACAAGATTTTATTTGTTTTTAATGTATTTAATATTATTTAATTTTTAAAAGATTTATTTATTTGAGAGAGAGAGAACAGAGGGAGAGTGAGAGGGAGAAGCAGACTCCCCACCGAGCACAGACCTGAAGCGGGGCTCGATCCCAGGACCCTGAGATCAGGACCCAAGCCGAAGGCAGAGGCTTAACTGACTGAGCCATGCAGTTGCCCCAATATTATTTAGTTTGCCCATGACATTCACCTGCCCCAAGTCAACTTAATATATACTCCCGTCCCTATGTGTGCAGTCCATGTTCCCTCCCATGCTACCCTAACTGTATTCCGTATCATTTGATGAATGTATGAAACTGAACTGTAAGAGTCCACAAAGCTAGAGGTTTACACAGAAGGCTTCCTTTAGTCCATGGTAACGTGATCAGGAAATACGACAAAATGATACCGGCAAACAGTTTCCAATTCTCACAGACCAGGGCTTGGACCACGTAGTTCCTACTCAGGATGGAGAATCAGAATCGCTCAGGGAGCCTCTTGAACACAGAGGTTCTCATCACTCATGAGGCTACTGATGGGACCGCATAGGGATGGCGGTGGCTCACATGCATGTTTTCTAAAACCCGCAGTGATTGAGGACCACAGAGGGGACAAGTGGTGTAGAAGCTGCCCCCACAAATCCGGATTTCCTTTGTGCTGAGGAACCACGCATGAGTAGTTCCATGAATAGCAGGTGGGGCACGAGCTGGTCTGCCAAGTGCCTGCACCCTAGAGTGTTCTTCCGTCTTATCTTGGTTGACTTCCAGCTTCGCAAGGGGAAGAACCATCTCAAATACGTCAATTTTGTAATTAGGATTTGTTCCCAGGTAATTCAAGGGTTGTGAAAATGGATTTTAAAGGGGTTATAATATAAAAATTTCAATAGCTATATAATAGGAGTCAATTCTTAGGAGATACTGGGACCCCTAGTGTAAGTCTGTTACGGAAAGGATGGGTCCCTAAGTGGTGAGACACTGAAAGACTGAGTAGGAGTTATGCCCAGATAAAACTTATTTTGGGGGCACCTGGGTGGCTCAGATGGTTAAGTGTCTGCCTTTGGCTCAGGTCATGATCCCAGGGTCCTGGGATCGAGTCCCGCATCGGGCTCCCTGCTAGGTGGAGAGCCTGCTTCTCCCTCTGCCTCTGCCACTCTCTCTCTCTCTCTCTGACTCTCATGAATAAATAAAGAAAACATTAAAAAAAACCAAAAACTTATTTTTAATTGTTAAGATGCCTGCTTGTCAGAGCATGGGGTCATTCCACACCATCTTTCCGGTGTTGATCTCATATCTGAAACCTGCCAAGCTGCCTGCAGATCTCTCTGCTCCAGAGAGATAGGACTGTCTGCAGAAATGAGAGACTCTGCAGACTCTGTTCTTCTCCCTTCAGTGCCTTCCTCAAGTAGCCTGGAAAGTTCTACCCTCCCACCCAGCTCAAGGTGGGAGCTCCTGAATGACCTCACTGTGTTCCTTATATCAGGTTCGTTTTCTTTTGCAAATTCCTCTTCTTCTTCTTCTTCTCCTTCCTCTTCCTCCCCTCCCCCCTTCTTCCTCTTCTTCTGCTTCTTCTTCTTCATACAATGTGTTTTCATTAACTAAGGCAAACCCAGGCTTGGCACCTCCCAGTTACTCTACAAGTAACAAAGGTATACAATTTAGTAGAGTATTAAATGCTCCCCGCCACTACCCCCCCAGCCGTTTTGGCGTTTTGGGAGTTGACTTTTCCAAATAAGTAATTTTAAGAAGCAAATATCACATCTTTAATCCTGAGAGGTTATACTCTTTTCTGGAGCCTTATCCTGTTCCTTTGAGAAGG